GATATTATTATTATTTATGTTGGAGAATGAATATCTGTGACCTAAAAAATAGGTTTGATTTGCATAAATTTTGTTAATAAATTCGTCAATTGTAAGGAAAGCAGGTGTGTTTTGATTTTCTGCATCCCGATCATAATCATAGTTGAATAGAATATATTGGGTGGTTTTTTTTTTTTTTTCCCTAACTTGGAAAACAAATGGGGTGGGTTTTGAATTAGGGCTAATCACAGGTAATTTCATTTTTAGCCAATGTTTACTTCATCTCGTACAAGAAAAATAACCAGGTATTTCATTAGTTTTACTGACATCACCAAGATGTTAGAGAGTGAGGAGATTTTCGAGCTTCTCTGATCCTATATGGTGGAGTTAGAACCCAGATATCAAATTCCTCTTGATCTCAGGCTCATTTGGCATCTTCTAGTGTCATGGGGTCTTTTACTTTTATTATTATCTGAGTTCTGCTTTCCAAGTCTGCTGTGATTGCTTGCCCAGTTGATCGATTTTGGGTTTTCTAGAAAACGATCTACCAGTTTCAAGGTTTTTATTTGAGTAAATTTTGAATTTTTTAAAACCTGGTTGACTAGCTATCCTGTTATTGCTTTAGCTGTTTGTTTTTCAGACTTTTAAGTGTTTTGTTTTTAGCTTCTGCTTTGTTTGTTGTTGCCTAAGATCATTTAAACATGAGTAACGGACCTTTATATTTCTTACAGTATGCCACCAGTATTTTGTCTAGTTTTTTTTTAATACAATTACCCTTAAAAAAAGAAGAGATGCCATTGTTTTGTTCTCTCTAATTTGCAAGCAAGTGGGTCCTGTACGTAGTTAGCCGGTTTTTGAATTTGATACGTCAAACTCCCCTGTAAAAAGACATCTAATGGCATCAGCCAAAAGACATTACAATTACAGTTGCTCGACCAAGTGAAGCTGACCTATTATGATGGTTGATGATCCATTGACTGAAGGGCCTGGTCCAAAATCAAAGCCTCTAGGCCGAGCCTAGGGGATCTATGGGTCAGCTGGGCAGAATGAAGTGGCCTTGATCATGGCGATGGACTTTGCATTCACTGACGGTATCTATAATGGCAGCTGCATTAGCCTCCTTGGCAAGAATTCGGCAGTGAATCCAGCTCGTGAGATGCCAATTGTTGGCGGAACCGGCCTTCTCCGATTAGCACGTGGCTATGCCATTGCACAAACTTATCGGCTTGATGTTACCACTGGTGATGCCATGGATGGCTACAATGTTACTGTAGTTCACTAGATGTTACTTTATTGTTTCAGAAAAGTATAGCCATGCTCTTTTTATCAGCGTGGTTTGCCATGAGTTGTTAACCTACTTTTAGGCTATGACTTGATGCAGCAGCACCATGCATGTTGATTACTATTAGTAGAGTAATCAGACGATTCAACCTGGTTCATTCTTGGAGTTTTTCTACCTAATTAAATTGTGAAATTAGTAATTTTTAATATTCATGAGATCCAACCACTTTTCCTTCCTTCCTTTCCTCTTTCCACAGTATTTGAGGAAGGAGTAAAAGTCAGAAAAGTGTTTGGCAAGCTGTTGATTGGCGTTGCTGCTGTTCTTATTTAGTAATGGCAGTGTTTAGAGCAGTGGGAGTAAGTTAATACTGCTTTACTTGCTGCCTCGTCATGTGATTTAAACAAAAGCATGGCCATCAATATACTTTAACAGATTAAGAAAGGATTACTAATACTGTCCGGAAAAATTTTCAACTTGTGATGATCATGATCAAATCTTGCTACTGCACTCAGAACCAGAAACAGCTTAGAGACTAAAACTTGTAACTAATTGGATTGAATAGTCCAGAAAGTTGACCTTGAAAGTTTAATAACTTGTTCCTGGCAATCTTTAGATGTGTCTCAAAGCTATGAGACAGTCTCTTTTGCTCACGTTCTTCGCAAAGCTAACAATGTGGCAGATTCTTTGGCAAAACAAGGATTGTCCAGAGAGCCTGAACTTCTTGCTTGGCTCCTGACTGTTTCTGCTCCTCTGTATCTTGTTTTTGGATGTCGGTTGTATTGGGTCGATTTGGGACTATTCAAGTCTTCAGGCAATTTCTACACGAAGCTCTCTCCCTTCTTTCGCTGCAGCAATAATCTAGCTTAAGGGAAAGTTGACGATGTAGAGCAGTGGAAACAAGCAAAGGTCTGCGATAACCAGCAAAAGGAGTTCCGTACTTGCAGCAAAAAGATTGAACATATCTAATTTCATTCTTTCAAGCAGTCCTTTTATGCCCTGTCACCAGGAATCATAACAAAACAAATGGTAACCATATTTTTACGGCTACTGAATCAAGTTTATCAGCATGCTCTGCATGCACCTTTTCTGCCTGGAAACCTAATTTTAACATAATACAAAATGGACCACAGACAGAACTACACCATCAATTTGGGAGCTCGAAATTAGTCTTCGTTTCCACTGGCAGCAGTAGCTCTTCGAGTATGAAAGAATGAGTCAGGAGGGTATCAGCAGACCACCTCTCACAGTGATCTCTCTCAAAGCACCCCTTCAAGAAATCTTTTCCTTTCTCTGGCATATTTTCGGGAATCATTGGTGATTCATTCCCACGACAAGCTTATTGAATAATTCTTTCGAATCCAAAGTTCCCCAAGCAATCCGTCCTGTGATCATCTCAACAGCAATGCAACCAAGAGACCATATATCCAAAGCTGAGGTGATCTCAACAAATTGCAGACTCAGGAGACATATAGCATGGCGTCCCGCGGTATTGTTACACATGCAACAACTTATCCGAATCGTCCTCTCCAGGCTCTCTAGCCAGCCCAAAATCAGCAATCTTAAGATGATGACCCCTTACTCCATGATCTCCACAAAGAAAATCCAGGATGTTTGCCGGTTTAAGTTCGTAATGCACATGGCCATTATAGTGAACGCAAGATAACCCCTTCAGCAGCATCTGCGTGTATTCCCTGACATGGCTCTCCGGACCCGTACCTCCTTAATCTTTCATCAAATTTAGAAGAGAATCCTTAGGAGCATACTCCAACAAAAGATAGTACGTGAACACCCCTCGTTCAACACTCACACAATCTCCATAGCATCCTATAACTTCCTTGGGAGTATACTCCAACAAAAGATAGTACTTGAACACCCCTCGTTCAACACTCACACAATCTCCATAGCATCCTATAACTTCCTTGGGAGTATACTCCAGCAAAAGATAGTACTTGAACACCCCTCGTTCAACACTCACACAATCTCCATAGCATCCTATAACTTCATTAGAACCAAGAAATCTTCCTAATATCCTTCCTTCCTTCTGAAGACTAAAAGAGTCTTCAAGTTTCGTACTTTCCACTGCAAAACAATCCATCTATATCATTAGCATCTGTTGATGCTGCTAAATAAACGGTTCCATACGATCCTTGGCCTAGGTTTTTCAATCAGGCCCCTTCCATAGTTAAGAATAATCAGAAGATAAAAACAAACTAAAGAAGAGATTAAAAGCAGGTCACTAAAGAAGTATACGAAAGTGGAAGAAAGGTGTAAATTACAACACGTGAATATATATTCCAAAACATTATTTGGATTTGGTACCTTTTTTTTATTAAAATTAAAATTTATATTATTTTAAATTAATTTTTAAATATTTTTTTAATTATTTTAATATGCTTATATAAAAAATAAATTTTTTTAATATATATATATATATATATCCAAAAAAACACTTTAAAAAACAATTCTTACCACATTCTTAAATACACTCTAAAAATTCTACCAGGTAAAGTGCTTAATTGTTTTTTAGTTTAGATATCTCTTTAAAAATCATTGGTGTATATGATTTTTTATAAATTAAATTAATTAATGATCAGTTATAATTTTTATTTTTTAATCTGCTATACATGTACAAGTAATTTAGATATTAAATAATATTTTTTATTATTAGATCAATATAAAAAAAATTAAAACAAGAATTTCTTCAAAAATAAAATTGAACTAATTTTTACAGCAACCAAAATCAGTTAAGTAAAAAGAAATAAATGCAATACAGGAAAGATAGATTTGCATTCAACAACGGTCTTATATTGCTTCAGTTGATAAGCGAACTTTATTTTATTAAATCCAAATTTCAAAATAATAATAAATTTTTGGTTATTTGATATATATATATATATATATATATATATTATTCATCCGCAAAGCACATACCCTGCAGTCAACTAAATAATACATTGCGTAAAAACTAAAAGAAAGGGTTGTAAAAAGGTCCTACCGGGAGTCGAACCCAGGTCGCTGGATTCAAAGTCCAGAGTGCTAACCACTACACCATAGAACCCGGGAGTGTTGTTAAGCCGCTAAAGCACTGTCAAATATTAAATAACAGTATTCATTGACATTTTTTTTGTAATAATTAGGCCAAAGAAAATCCAAAAAAATGGAAAAGATAAATGTGATTGACAGTCGTAGGAGTCGTATATCTAAAGAATATGTAGATATTTATTTCTGTGTTTTAAAAAAATCATTTTTTATTTGAAATTAATATTTTTTTATATATTTTAAAATTATGTCGATGTATTTTAAAATAAAAAATACAATCTTACCGCGCTTCTAAACTTCAAAGCTTTTCTTCAAAGAGTTAAGGTGGCAGTGTAAAATCTCGTATGTTGAGGCCAATGTAGCATACAACGACTTGTTAGCTCAGCGGCTTTACGGCTTTGCAAATGGGCAGCAAGAATTGGGAAGTTTTTAAGGTGGTAGAGTAAAGTCTCGTATGTTGAGGCCAAGGGAGCATACAAGGACAAGCTCAGAGGCAGTGGCGGAATTGACAATTTGAGATAGATTTCTATCAGTTCCGTGGCAGGTCCATTCATCACCCTCAAGCCGTTACCTTGGTGTGCTCCTTTTATGCTCTTCATCTCTCTTTTTGGTGCAGACAGAAGTTTCCTGATTATACAACAGGTGATTCTAGCATAAACCTACAAACTAGAAACGCAAGAACTATACACAGCAAGCGATCAAGATTGGTACAGTGCAGATCTATTTCAACAGCACAAAGTGCTAAAGATTCTAGAACCAGGCATGGTTGAACTAGAAGCAATGATGAGCCCCAGTGGCTTGATAAGAAGAAAAACCACTTTATGAAAATATCTAACAAAGAAATTACAACCACTAATACCAAGCAAAATATTGTTGTCATCTGACTAAACAAAAAGAGAAGGGGGGGAGAGGAACAATATGCAGCTCAACTTCACTCGCATTCCTTGATGACCATCACAAGATGGCGACATCAAAAGTTTCCTGGCAAGTATAACCTACAATTTTCTTCATTGTCCATATTGCATTTGTTGAGAATAATCAATGAGCTTCTTCAATAGAGGAAAGAGGCTAATCAAAGCAAGTTGAAGCTGTTCTGAGCTATTTACGCGAATACTGATTTGTCCAGCTCCCCTGTTATTTAAATTTGCACGACCAATCAAATTTGTGGATCGTCCTATAGGAATCTGGGATTGTACATTGCAGCCAATAGCGAGATCTCCATGCCAGTCCATGACGGAAAGCCCTAGTGTTGATAATGAACGACCAAGAGGATAATCTTTGTCCCTCAGCTGGACCTCCAGACTGCCACCATAAGCCACATCACCACGACCAGCCATTGCACCACCAGACATTACCATTTGGAACCGTTTACCAGCAATCAATTTATCCTCGACTTTCACTCCAGCTGATAAGACATCACCCAACAGAGTAACCGATAGACCAGCTGTAGCCTTATTTTTCCTAAAATTACTGAACCTAGTCTCACTGCGTAAAGTATAGGCCAAGTCTTTTCCCACGGTCTGCATATCAAACCCCAGTGAGGTTGCTTTTCCCTCTCCATACTTTAAAGAACTTGCTAATTCCATTTGAACATTGGCATCCTTCTTGTCCTTTGTTACCTGGCCAGAAAACGATATAGGGATTTTGTCTTTAACCACAAACAATCTCTCCACATTTATACCTTCGTAACCAACATCATGGTCCCAACCATGAGTTTCTAGAACTGGCCTCACAAGCCACTGGTTGGAGGTATCGAGGTAACGGTACCTATGAGTGGGATTATCAGAATCAAAGGAAGCAGGTAAGGCTAGATCCGGCATGGGAACAGGAACAGATGCAGCTCCACCTTCTTCCTCTGCATTTTCAGCGTACTCACTGGGCAGGTCCTTAGCAGCTGCAGCCATTTTTTCCATCAACTTCCGTCGCCTTTTCTCCTCCTTCAACTGCTTTTTCATGAAAAGTTTCTCTCTGTATTCCAACTCATCAAAATATGCCTTCTTCTGAACTTTAGTAAGCTTAGCAATCTGAGCCCTTGTTAAACTTTTAAATGGTGGCAATTCATCATATTCTGATTCATCCTCGGAATCTGATGACTCATCTAAATCATCATCTAAACCATCCTCATCACCATACTGTTCCTCTGGAAGCTTAACTTGTGGTCTTGACTGGAGAAGAGACGAAAGAAGGAATGGTAAAGGAGGTGCTCTTGCTCGAGTTGCAAAAGGCTTCGCAGGTGTACTATCTTGCAACTTCAAAAGAGCATTCGCCTCGGCAAGAATCTTAGATGCAAAAGAGAGCAGCAACAAGTGCGGCTTCCAAACCTGACCATTTGGCAGCACTCTCTGCCCTGCCCTATTAGTTCTACACGCTGAGTGATTCTCAACCAATGAAACAGGATTCATGAGTCGCATATCTCCTGCTGCCAGACGAATTGCTTGTTGGACAGCATGTGAACGCTGAGTGACAAACATGTCATAACTTGAAGCAGTTCCATTGGGACCATCAGGTGGAGCTGATGCAGCATGAGTCAGGACAACAATTGCATTGAACCATATAGATGGCCCAAATATGTCAGTGATGGTACGCAAGAGAGGCATATCACCAAAATCCCTGCTTTGCATATCCAACCTGTCAAGATACAACACAATATCTGGAGGAGTTTTCTTGATAAAGCACTTGACAGAGTGAAGGATCTTCTCATTCTGGCGCTGGTCAGACCATGAAGGAAGAAGTCCTGGTGTGTCAATGACTCGTACCTTTATCCCCTGAACAGTACCCACAACATCCTGAACCTTTCTTGTACCCAATTGAAAAGCATCAGTGCCAAACTTCACTTCATCAAATATAGAGTTGATAGTGGCACTTTTACCAACACCTGTCTTTCCAAGAACCATAATTGTACAAGAGAAATCAAGGGGTTCCTGCCCAGCAGCCTCAAGATGCTCTGCCATTGCACTGGCACGATCAAAACCAGCAACACGACCACCATTTCTACCTCGCAGCTGCTCAGCTAATCCCAGTCTGTATAAAACCTGTGCAACAACAACATTATGGGGAGTCTGCCCAAGTCTATGTGCAAGCCGCAGAAATTTCACCCTGATCATCTGAAGTTTTTCACGTGTCTCATCAAACTCTTCTGATTCCCCATTTATAGGATCTTCGATTTGTTGGGATTGCATATGAGAAACAGTTCCATTAGGACGAAGTTGCGGAGTTGCCCTGGGAGCAGGTTCCAATAGTGGTGCAGCGCGCCCGAGGCCAGCTGGACGAGAAGGTGAGGGGGCTGCACTCAGAGACTTTGCAGATGAAGATGCAATCTCAGGTAAATGCTGAATTTTACGCTCTATATTTGCCGGGACATTTTGACCCTTTTCTGCTGTCTTCTGAGGTGATTCAGTCACAGCAGTGTTTTTGCTGGCTCTGTTGATGTTGTTGTCAGCATGGTGTGATTCAGAAACCTTGCTATCCTCTGATAGCAAAGTAGATGCACGAGCCTGAATCTCCTCATTTCTCTCCATCACAGAATTCTCAGAAGAAGAAGAGGAAAAAACTTCAGGTGCCAGCTTCTCTTCCTCCACAGTCAGTGGGATAGCTGAAGCAGCTTTCAGTTCACTTGCTTTCCCATTTTGGTCTGAATCTATAACAGCTGAAACATCTTTCAAGTTCCCATTGCTACCATCTTGGTTTTCTATGTTTACACCTGCTGAGATGTCCCTGAACTGTTCACTCTTATTTACCTCATTACCAGAATCAAGGCCCGCTATTGCAATTTCAAAATTCCCATTTTTCTCAACCTCGTGTTTTATATCTTTTCTTTCCAGATTCTCATCCAATCCTTCACTCTTATCATCTTGACGATCACCTGATCTGTTAAATAAATCATTGGCCTCGTGATATTCAGCACCCAATTTATCCTCCTTCAGATCCTCTCTCTTACCATCTTCTGGAAGAATCTCCATATTCAACTCAATTTCTCGATTGAAATGGGACTCATCCTCACCCTTCAAAGCCTCTGTCCCTCCATTACCAGCAATCTCAGAGACCTCCTCACCTCCACTCATCTCATTGTTCTCTGCTTCCTGAGAAGACTCCTCACCTCGACTCATCTCATTGTTATCTGCTTCCTGAGATGACTCTCCATCACTTTTCAGTTTCTTGCTTGTATCAATTCCGCTATTAAAATTGGCCTCATCCTCACTCCTTAAAGCTCTAGTTTCTCCATTACCAGCAATCTCAGAAACCTTCTCACCTCCACTCATCTCATTGTTCTCTGCTTCCTGAGCAGACTCTCCATCACTTTTCAGTTCATTGCTTGACTCAATTCCTCGATTAAAATTGGCCTCATCCTCACTCCTTAAAGCTTGAGTTTCTCCATTAACAGCAATCTCAGAAACTTTCTCACCTCCATTCAATTCATCATTCCCAACTTCCTCAGCAGCCTCTCCATCATCTTTCAATGATCCACTTTTGTCATCCAGATGTTCAGAATCCATTTTTATCAAATTCTGGCCCGTGCCCTCACCCTTATCCTCTGAAATCTTAACAGAATTGTCACTTGTCGCCTGATATTCAATATTCCACTCATCCTCCTCCTTTACCTTCTTCTCATCATCCTTGGGCAGAATCTCCTCACTCAATTCAGTTTCCCGCTTAGAATCCACCTCACCTTCATCCTCAGCCTTCAAAACCTCTGTTCCTCCATTGTCAATAATCTCAGCAACCCCTCCTCCACTTGATTCATTGCTCGCAGCTTCCTTTGCAGTCCCTCCCTCGTCAATCTTATCAACACTATCTCCACCCACCAAATCCTCTACCTTCTCTTCACCAACCACTCCACCTAGCTCCTCTGGATTCCCACTCTCAGCAGGAACAAAAATCACCTCCTTGAATTTCTCAGCCTCATTTCCTAGATTCAGATTCTCATCGTCAAATGCTGGACTCGACTCACCAATACTCTCAACAAAACCAACTGACTCAACTTTTATTCCCTCCTCCTCCTCCTCTACCTCCTGCAAGTGCTCATGTGACTCAATTGCCTCCTCAAAAACCTCATCTTCCAAATCTTTCGATTCATCAGACCCCACCACAATTCTCTCCTCCTCTACCTTAACCCCAAAACCCTCATTTCCCACATTGGATTTCTCTTCCACAACAACTCTCTCCACCCCATTTTCCATTTTTTCTTCAAAACCTTGATTCACATAAAACCCACAAAATCAAAACACAGAACTCATTTCAATATCATCACAACCAATCACATAACCAACAAAAAAAGCATCATAAAGCTTCCATCTTTTACTCAAAAATCATGACTTTATATAACAACAATCCATACAATATCCAAATTGAAACTTTCAGATCTCAATAAGCAACTTTCACAGATTTTCATTAGGGCTTTGCACACAAAAAAATGCAATTAAATCAATACAAAATCATAATTGATTAACTAAAACACATAAAAAAATCCTTTTTTTTCTTTTTGCTTACCTTGTTTCCTATAGAGAGAGGAAGTGAATGACTTTCAGAGCGAGAGAGAAGGAGAGCTAGTGAAAGAATCCTAAATGTAATCTACTGGCTGCAGCTGCTATGGCTTTACCATGTTATATGAATTAAGGAGATAAGAATTTTTTATCGGACGGTGTAGATTTGGAGGTATTGCGTTTTGCTGATCGGACGGTGGAGGAATTTTTGTTGGGTCTGATGGATTGCTTTGATATCATCGTTGAAAGACGCCAAATCTTGCTGACGTGGATTTACTTGTATAAAATTAGGGTTTAAGTCTAAACCTGGAATGGTCATTAAACTCTTAATTTTCTTAATAATGGTCTTCTACCTTTTTTATCTACTACTCTGGTCATGCATGTTACGTTTCGTCTCTAAAAATTTGTAATTGTGCGTTATTGATTGAATTTTTTATTCTCAATTGATGATTTCTTAAAAAATTTAAGTAGTTTGGAAATAAGATTTATAATAATTAATTGAATTTTTTATTTTAATAATCTGATTTTTTTTATTTAAAGTGGTTAGTGAGTGATGTTTATTATCTGTATAAGGTTTCCTTTACTTAATTTAAAAATTATTTAATGCTTTAAGTAAGTATTTTTTTTTAAAAAAATAATATTTTAAAGAGAAACTCTAAAATTAAGTATATAATGAAGAGTGGAGATTCAGAACTAAAGATCTAATGGGTTTTTATAGCTCATTATTCTTATCCTTTTATCGAAGGAATGGTTCAAAAGTTTTTTTCTTGATAGAATTTAACCTTTCTTTCCAAATAGAAAAATATCTCTAACTTTATTGGTGAGAAAACATATTTGCATGCATGAGGGCTTAACATTTGACTGAATTTAAAAATATCGAGTCTGGTAGTTCACCAAACACATAAATATTAAGGCTTAGTGCTTGATTGAGTTCAATAACACTAGCTCTAACAGTTCACCAGACTCATATATGTTTGGGCTCAATTTTTGGTTGAGCTCAAGGATATTGGGTTATCACTCGACTTTGATTCCTTTAAATAAGAATTTAAAGAAAATAAAAATAAGAATAAAATATGTTGATCCACCAATAGTCTCTCAAGTCTTTGTGTATTTTTTACGCAAAGATTTTTGAAAGGTTACCACCAATAAATAAAACTTTTTTTACCTTCCCTATAAGATTTGGTTGTCCCATATAGAATTGTTGGAATTTTCTTGGCCAAGTGGCTCATTTTTATTGAAAGGGTAACCTTTAGGAAATAAAATAGCAGCTTGTATTTATTGTAGTGATTGAGTGGATTTCTAAAAATTTAAGATGACATGAAAACTCATTCATCCAACAGTCTGGATAGAAAGGTGTTTCCTTTATAGACTTAATTGTTCTTACCTTTATCTTTTTATTTTCTATAATTTTTGAAAAACTATTGTGTTGAAAACTCCTGACTATTTTAGTTCTAATCCAATGAAACAAACTCATTTCCAGGTATTTTTCACCACCATCTTTTATCTTTTTCTACTTTAAACCAAAACATGGATCCAAAAGGAGTTAGATTTATCCTTAAAAGAAGGGATATTGCAACCTCTAAAAAGGAGTTCGAGTTCCAACATAAGATTGTGAGAAATGGTAGGGGATATGGGTTCATCTAACCAAGCAACATAATTAGAGAGGATGATACTCCAACACTCATCTCTAATAGGGAGGAGAGTAGCTCTTCTCGTAAAAGTCCTTCTCTCATCATCACTAGAGATTCCCAAAAGAGAGGGAAGTTACCTCAGACTTTTAAGGATGACATTCCCAATACTTTAGGTGAGAAGGATATAGAGTTTGTTTCTCACTTTCAGTTAGGAGAGTACACAACTCGAATGTTTGATTAGGTTGAGCATATTAACCAGAAAACTTTAGGTTGTGCCTTAACGTTATTTTAAGATTACAGCCTTTTCTTACATGTACACGATGGAGTGTTCCTCCCTTCTCTAATGATTTATTAGGGAAGTGTTCAGATATTATCAGTTGGGTTAAGGGTAGTTGCATTCAAATAGGTGGATGATTATGTCTGTCTTTGATAAGTTTTGTAGGCTTATCAAAATTAAGCCTACTATTAATATCTTTAGAAGATATTACCATCTGATTGTTGGCACCAGTAGTGGCAATAATGTACATTGGTTATTCATCTTTGCCATAAGCCCGAATGAGCTATTAAAGGAACTCTGTGTGGAAAGCATGTGTGTGTCAAAAAATAAAAGGAGAGATATCTGATAATAAGATATGGTGGGCTAGTCAATCCTAAAAGTGAAATATATTAAATATAGAGATGTTCCTATTATTAGAAGAAGGTTCCTTCTCTTAATGTAAATAACAGGCCTCGTCTGAGCTTGGATGAGGAGAAAACATGCGTTACGTTAACCTCAACTTCAACAAAGTATGAAGTCAATAAAATAGCCAAAGGATATTATCAAACCATTTTGCAAAGAATGTAACTTTCTTATTCCCTTGTTTTTTTATTGCTAAGTTTATTACTAACTTTTTGTTTTTTTATGCAGGACTAACAGCTAAAAGAGAAGAAGGAACTTCAGTGATGTTTGTAGAAGAAAGTTCAACAAGGAAATCTTCAACTCTTGTCATGGTTAGAAGTAGGGCTAAAGAATATATGAAGGATTACCTCGTCATTGTTGATGAACTTTATGTTCTTGAGGGATTTGTCCCTAAAAAAACAATGGTGAGAGTCAGAACTCCCGTAGAAAATAAAAGAGAGGGCAATTATACTCCTCTAATTGAGATTTAAGTAGATTTAACTCCCCCTAAAGTGATTGTGGATGCTGCTACCTACTTTAAAAGGAAAAAAAATCTCCACCTTTGTATAGTTCAATGTTTTAGTCTTGATTATAGGAGGCTTTCTTGGTGGCACTTTCTTTACCTCAACTTCCAACTTTATCGATAGAGGTTGCAACAGCTAGGCCTTCTACTTGGGTTATTCTAGTAGAGATTGAGTTTAAATATGCTTTCACCCACCTTGTTTTTTACCAATCTCCTTTTAGTTTTTCCACCCTGACCGAGGAAAAGAGGGAGTTTATGGAGGCTTTTGTTGGTAGGAGGTCAGTTATTAGAAAGACTAGCATTGAGGTGGTGAGACTATTAGAAAGGATCCTCGTCATCCCATCAGATATCACAATAATGTTTAATGAGTGCTACAACCATTATTTGACTTTAAATGGTTAAATGGTTTTTATTAGGAATTTTTTATTTCAACTTTTTGTTTAATTCTATGACTATTATTCCTAATAATTTTTATTGATAAATTTTCATGATATACACTCGTTTTATGAGGTGTTAGGTGGCTGAGAGAAATCATGTAATGGAGGCCATTGCTATAAACAAGGAAAACCAAATTGCCTTCAAATAGCTAAAATAGGAAAAAAGTTATTGTAAAGGCCGAACTAAAGAGTCTTAATATGGCTTATGCAATACTGAAGGAATAAATATAAGGTATTGTTCTTCAGTTGGACTCCAATGAGAAACTATTTCAAGTGATTTATAACCAAATGGATTCCTTAAAGCAAAAGATTTTTTAGATGAAAATCATTTAAGATGATCTGAGTATAGAGCTTTTTATTGCTAGGAAAGAAACCTAAAATTCTCAAGCTTAGTTGGAGGTCCTGAGGAACTCTCTCAAGGAGTTTCAGGGATTTTTAAGGGTTCAATAGCTATGACTGGGATAGTTGGGGACAAGATCTTTCTTACCATGTCCAATATGTATTTTTTTAATCAATTAAAAGGGATGCATATGGACTTTAGTATTGCCTTTTATCTAATCTCAATACTTGACTTTACAAATGTGTTCTTTGTCATGATTGTTATTTCCCGACGTAGAAAATATCCAGTTAAGGAGCCTGAGTAAGATATTTAAGCCTCATTTCCCCCTTTCCTTTTATAAATGTTATACACACCCCTAGTCTTTTAGGGTCTATCCATGTAACATTTATCTTTTATTTTATAAAATTTTAAATCCTTTTATTTATCTGTTTACTTGTGTGCATAGATCTAATGCCTATAATAAACATTTCATACGGGATTTGAAACCCTAAGAAAAATCTTTAAAATTTTATATGAGTCCAGCACCTATACTTAAAAAAAAGTTAAGGGAATTCCCTAAACAATTAGTTCAGGACCAATACCCACCTTATAATTTCCATGCAGGGTCTAAAAACCTAATAAAATTGTTAAAACATTTATAGGTCCAACACTTACACCTAGAAAAACATTTAGTAAATTTGAACTTTAAATTTATCTAACCATAATCAAGATTTAAAAGAGATTTGCCTACCTAGAACCGATAAGAGATCTTAGTTTTAGGTATATTCCTATCAATTTAGGTGAATATATAGTGGATTAATGAACAATCATTAGGCAAGACATGAAGATTAGTGTTGTTGTCCTTAAGGTGACCATATCTATCCCTTAGAATATGATTTATGTAATCACACTAGGGAGACTCTGTCAATCCCTTTCGGTGAATTTTGTAATCATATTAAGAAGATTGAGTTCATTCTATCCTTGGAAGGTTATGAGGTTGTTACCCTAGAAAGATAATATGTCAATCTCATTATTAGAGATATGTTCAATCGCTCTAGGAAGGTTCACAATCCATTATTCTAAGGTAAATTGTGCAATCATACTAAAAATACCGAGTTTGTCTCATCCTCAAAAGGTTACGAGGTTGTTGCCCTAAAAAGATGGTGTGTCAATCCCATCATTAGATATATGTGTAATCGCACCAAGAAGGCTTCAGATTCATCATCTCTCAGGTAAATTATGCAATCACACTAAAAAAAAATGAGTTTATATCATCCTTAAAAGGTTGCGAAGTTGTTGTCTTAGAGAGATGGTGTGTTATTCTTATTCTTAGAGATATATGTAGTTGTACTATAAAGGCTCCATATCTATCATTTCCAATACAAATTGTGCAATTGCACTAGAAAAACTAAGTCTATCTCATCCTTGAAAAGTTACTAGGTTGTTTCCCTAGAGAGATGGAATGTCAATTCCATTATTGGAGATATATACAATCAAACTAGGGAGGCTTTATATTTATTCCTTTTAAGGTAAATAGTGCAATTGTAACAGAGAGATCGAATTGATCTCTTTCAAGATAAATTATGCAATTGTACTATAAAGATTAAGTTCATCCCATCCTTGAAAGGTTATGAGGTTGTTGCTCTAGATATCACCCAAATAAAAGAAGACATTGTCACGGTGAATGATTTAAATCATATATAAGAAACTTACATTCCTAGTCATTGACCAAGATATATTTTTTATTGACCTTTAAGATATAATCATCTTGATAATTATTTTGTTGACATCATGATCTCAGCTATAAAGAGGAGAGACTAGAGTTTATATAATAAATGTCTTTTGGATGGTTAACAACCAAACTTTACATGTTTTATAATTTGAACCAACATTCCACTTATATTTGTTAAAACCTTTCCAAAATCATTACAAGATTTCACAGTTTTACCGATGGAAACATTTCGTCGGTGTGTGATTAGAAGTTCGTCAGTGATTCTTGTTCGTCAGTGATTCTTTTACCGACGTCATCACCGATGGATTACATCCGTCAGGTTACCTTTCATCGGTGATTCAACATTTCATCGCTATATCGGTCTGAAGAACAAAAAACCATTTGCTGATGGTTTTACAGACGGAATTTATGCCCAAAAAAAAAGATTCCCGCTTGAATATACCGACAGATTTGTATTCCGTCGGGGATATCGCGATTTACCGACAGACACTAAACGTCGATAGGGCTGTCGGTGGGTGTATGAAATACCGACCGAATATATCCATCTGTAAATTCGTCGGTAAGTCTGGTAGTTACTATCAAATACCGACGGAGTTGTTCCGTCGGTGAGTGTATGAAATACCGATCGAATATATCCGTCTATAAATTAGTCGGTAAGTGTGGTAGCCACTATTAAATGCCAACGGAGTAATTCCATCGGCAATTCGGTCGGTGAGTGTATGAAATCATTGGTAATTGTTTTTTTTTCTAAATTGTTTTTTCAAAAATTATTTAGGATATATAATATAAAACTATATAAATTAATTGTAATGCAAATCAATTATGCAAATAAAATTTATATTAAAGAAAAAAACAAAGTTAAATAATATTCATTACAAACTGAATATGTTTCAAAAAAATATTAAATGAAGTTTTAAAGTTAAATAATGTTTATTACAAATTAATATAAAGGTGGAGCTGGAGAAGAAGCAGGAGATCCTGGAGGAGGCTGGTGGTTATACGGCCAAAAAGGATTAAGCGCACATGTTCCATTATTTGCCATGTTCATAACCATTTCACGGAGCTGTTCGTAAGCCGCTTTTTGTTGCTCATACTCCGCTTTTTGTTGTTCATACTCTGCTTTTTGTTGCTCTTGAGATGCTTTGAGGTGCACGTATTTTACTGATAGGTAGTCGTATTTCTTGGTGAGCTGAGTCGTGTGTTGCTGTAAGGCCTCGAACTCCTTAAATTTGGAGCTCGATATTGATTGGGAGCTCCCAACAGTTGAAACACTACGGGTCGACCACAAGTTATCGGCCGTAGTGTTGGAGAGCTCGTAAACCTAATTTTTATCAAGTCCACCTGCGGAGCCAGCCTCCATCCACAAATCCGGATCGAATTCCGGATGGTTCAAATATCATCATCCCCATATCTCTCCCTTAACCGATTATTATAGGTCTCCTGAAAATAAAATAAAAAACAAGTAATCATCATATTCAATTCAATAAACATAATAACTTACAAAATGAAATGGTTGAACAAACATACCATGAAATGTTGAGCACGGTTATCAACGAACTGTTGCACCCCTTTCTGACGGTCTTGACTCCGCACGTGCGTCTCCACAAACAGCTCCATCGGGCTCGGCTCACGTCCAAGAGACGCAGCCTATAATGAAAAAAGATATATTAACAACAATTGAATTTAACAATATATTTCATTTAAATTAATCTTACCATCCATTTCGCATGTGCAGCAAATGGAATGGAGCCATTAGTGTGCATTGTCACCTCGCCATGAATTGGCCAATTCCGGTTGCTAGCACCGGACCGTGAGCGTCATGTGAACCGCTCAGACATCACGTGCTCAATATAGTGCGGCTATATATCTTCCGGGATGTATATCGGTTTGAAATCCCTCCAAACCGCAACATTGTTCCGGCCTTATAAACCCCTATCCCTTGTGGCTTTTTTTGCCTTTTTTTATGCTTCATACCAAAACTCACTCAACCTACATCACGCAACCAAAAATTACATTTCGAAACATAAATTTTTATCTAAAAAAATCTCGTGTTGTTTTCAATCTTACCTAGTTGCCGCGTGATTTTCCCATACCCTCCTCACAACATTGTTATGCTCACTCCCAACGGTTGAAACACTACGGGTCAATCGCAAGTTGTCGGCCATAGTGTTTGAGAGCCCGTAAACTTGATTTTTATCAGGTCCACCTAATGAGCCAACCTCCATCCACAAATCTGGATCAAATTTCGGATGGTTCAAAATATCATCCTTGTATCTCTCCCTCAACCGATTATTATAGGTCTCTTAAAAATTTTAAAAAAAAAGAAGCAATCATCATATTCAATTCAATAAACATAATAACTTACAAAATAAAATGGTTGAACAAACATACCACGAAATGTTGAGCACGGTTATCCATGAACTGTTGCACCCCCTTCTGGCAATCTTGACTCCACACGTGCGTCTCCACAAACAGCTCCATCGGGCTCGGCTCACGTCCAAGAGACGCAGCCTATAATGAAAAAAGATATATTAACAACAACTGAATTTAACGATATATTTTATTTAAATTAATCTTACCATCTGTTTCGCATGTGCAGCAAATGGAACGGAGCCACTAGTGTGCGTTGTCACCCCGCCATGAATTGGCCGATTCCGGTTGCCAGCACCGGACTGTGAGCGTTATGTGAACCACTCAGACGTCATGTGCTCAATATAGTGCGGTCATATATCTTCCGGGATGTATATCGGTTTGAAATCCCTCCAAACTGTTACATCGTTCCAGCCTTGGAAACCCCTATCCCTCGCGGCTTTTTTTGCCTTTTTTTGTGCTTCATACCAAAAATCACGCAACCTACTTCACGCAACCAAAAATTACATTTCGAAACATAAATTTTTGTCTAAAAAAAATCTTGTATTGTTTTTGATCTTACCTAGTTGCCGCGTCATTTTCCCACACCCTCCTCACAACAGTGTTATGCTCACTATCCCAGCAGAATTTGTACTGTGTATAAATGAACAAGTTTAAATAAAAATAATAATTTATTTATAATTATATTAATAAGCTGAAAATTATTTATTTACAATTATATTAATAAGCTGGAAATTATAAATTAATACCAACCTCAAACCTGTTAAACCATATATTGATTTGAGGCATCCATTCAGGATGCTTGGATATCTGACTCCATTGAAACAATGGAATCTCCATCGATGATTTAAACGTCGATGATATTACTCGGACGGCTTCAATGTTTGTGAACTTGAAAGTAAATGAAATAAATTCAATAGTGATTATTTCATAAATTATGTTGTAATTTAAAACAAAAACTAAAACCTTAACAAACTTACATTGAAAGGTCATCCTTCCACTGTGCCTCATACTGGCGGGTACATTGATTTCGCTGCGAAGGCACACCACCTCTGCGCTGTGAAATAGCGCTGGAAGAGGCAGCATCGATTGACGGCGCAGGTGGTGTAGGTGCCTCTTATTGAGAGGCACCTAAGGAAATATCATCATCGCTGCTAGACGAACTAGCTACGACCATACATGAGCGACCAGCTCTGGTTTTTGTTCTACGTATCTACATAATTTTATACAAATAATTATATAATTAAATTCAAATGTTAAAGAAAAAAATCAACAGCACCTCCCCTATACTGGATACTACCCAAATCCACAAACTTGCATATATTAACAATAGCCACAACTAATTTACCCAATCTATACTAATTATTCCAACATATTCAATTATTAATCCTAAAGTAAATTCAACATTAAAAATTACAATTCAACAAATTATTCAATAATTATGCTAATACAACAAAACAATAAATTAAAAAAAAAAACTCTAGAATAACAATCAAAATAAATGGAAAAAATTAAACCCAAATCATGCAACATATTCAATTACTAATCCTAAGGTCAATTCAACATTAAGAATTACAATTCAATAAATTATTCAATAATTATGCCAATACAACAAAACAATAAATTAAAAAAAAACCATTAAAGTAAATTATATGGTAAATTCAACATTAACAATAAATATTCAACAAATTAACTAATAATAATTATGCTAATACAACAATAAAAAAATATTCAGTAAATTCAAAAAAAAACTATAGACTTTAGCAATGAATTATGCAAAAAAAAAACTATAGACTTTATATACATTACAAAAAATACACCAAAACAAAAAACATAACAAAAAATAGCAAAAAAAACCATTAAAGTAAAATGAAATAGAAGAAATACTAACCTTTTAAACTGATGGAGATTCACGATAAAAAATGCTTGAGATCGCCGGGGAAGAATGTAGAGTAGCATAGAGACGAAAAGAATGGTGAAAAACTGAGGGGAAGAAAAAATGAACTGAAGAGGCGGTCGGGGGCACTTATATGCCAGTTTTACCAACTAATTCACCGACAGATACAAAATTAATTATTATTTTAATTTATTCTATCGGTGAGGTGTTAAAAATCCGTCGGTAAATTTTGAATTTCGCACCAAATTTTTTAATGTCCCTCCATATTTTTCATAGTCCATTGGTAAATCCGTCGGCAATATGATGCGGTCAGAGAAGCATTTAATGCACAACACTTTGAAATATGCGTGGTCTGTTGCCAACATGCCGACGGATATAAATCTGCCGGTGTTACCGTCGATGATATGGTGGCATTTCAAGTAATTATTTTCGAACTCTCTGTGAAATGTCGACGGACTTAATGTCGTTTGTGTTGCCATTGGTGATGTGGTGGCATTTCAAGTAATTATTTTCGAATAATTATTTTCGAACTCTCTGTGAAATGCCGACGGACTTAAAGTCGTCGGTAATGTGGTGGCATTTCAAGTAATTATTTTTTAACTCTCTGTGAAATGCCGACAGACTTAAAGTCGTCGGTGTTGCCGTCGGTGATGTGGTGGCCTTTCAAATAATTATTTCATGTTACAAAATATATCATCCATGATCAATAATTATTTCAAGTAATTATTTCATAATTGTGGCATTTCAACTAATTATTTCAAGTAATAAATATTTTATGTTTCAAAATATATCATCTATAATCTAAATTACATGAAAAAAAGGGTTTTATATAGGACTTTATTTTGGTAGTTAGTCAGAATTTTCTTCTTCATCGTCATCAATTGAATTGTCATCACCTTCATCGCAATCTTCAATATGAATATCATCTTCTTCATCGATATTTGCTTGTCCACTAGAGCTCAAAACAAAATTCAACTCCTCTACGTCAACATCAACAAGACTATAATCAAAAACATGAAAATTTAAATTTTCTTCCAATTCAATCGAAGGAGCAACTTGATATGGTTCAACCACCTCACTAACTTGAAAGACTTTATCTCACACACTTGTGTCTTCGTTCTCATCCTGAACAACCTTGACACAACCCCGGGGTTTCGTTTTTAAAACGGACAACCAATCCACTCTTGATCGATCATTTCTAAATGAAGGGGTGTATGTGTAATAAACTTGTTGACATTGCTTTGCGAAAACAAAGACATCGTTTATGTTGCGGAGTCTAGCTTTTGAGTTGATTTCAACTAGACCATAGTGCGGATCAACTCTAATTCCTCTGTCAGTCCTATCATACCAATAGCATTTGAATAAAAACACTCTACTTTGCTCGTTATGATATTGTTGTTCGACGACCTCTTCTAATCTACCATAGTAGTCAACTTCTAACTCACTACTAGTGGATCCCTTAATACAAACATCGTTGTTGTATGTCTTTCTTCCTTGCCTGTATTCTTCAGTATGGAAAACATATCCATTGATAAAATACCTGTTGTAGCACTTACATTTTCTTTCAGGCCCCAAGCTTAGTGAAGACAATGACTTAGGTGTACTCCCTCCCATTTGATAAACCTTGTATGTAATGTACATTAATAAATAGTAAATGAACGAGAATATCGTAATGACATGTATACGTACAGTAATTTTGCAAGTTAGAATGAGTTTGTGATAGTGTTTACATGTGTTCTAAACCACGTGGAAAACTGCTCATCTTGTAATTGAAAGATTTGGGATTCGGTCAGCTATGAGTTATTGGAGAGCAAATATTATCGATGTTGCCTGCAAGTGATAATGAGTGTATGATATTACAATATATAATTAACAATATATTACTAACAAAGTTTAATTAGTATAAACTTACTGAATAAAAGGTCTTAACTCATCACAGTTAAATAGAGCATAGTTGTGTGCTTGTTTGAACTCTATTTCTGACAAATATCTTCCTTTTACAGCATTTTTAGGTGCGGGTCGTCTAGTATTGGAGAATATTGAAAAGTTTCCACTGGAAGGCACTTCACCGCCATCATCATGTCGGGGAACACGATTGATTCTCGTTCTTAGATGAGGTTTGAAATAGTACGAGATAAATGTTGAGATCTCCTCAACAATATAGGCCTCACATATCAAAGCCTCAACATGCGCCTTGTTCTTAATCTTTTTCTTAAGATTAAACAAGTACCTGCATTGAAATATTAATCAAGTATTTTTAATTAAGAAAAACATATAAAATACTTTTATATATGAATTACATTGCAACTGTAATATCTAACCGTTCGAATGGGTACATCCATCTATATTGGACCAGTCCTCCAGCTTTTGCCTCAACGATAGATGTATATGGAGATGCTCCATTGAGTCAAAAAATTATGGAGGGAATATCATCTCAAGTTTGCATAGTATTTCGACGATATTCATTTGAAACCTCTCAATGTAATCAATATTCAACTTGTTGGAGCATATATCTCTGAAGAAATGACTGATCTCCGTGAATGCATCCCATATTCCCTTTGGCAACAAATCACGAAAAGCTAATGGGATGAGTGTTTGCATAAACACGTGGCAGTCATGACTCTTCATTCCATACAATCTGCAGTCCTCTATATTAACCAGCCGTGATATGTTCGATGCATGTCCATCCAAAAAATACAGACTCTTAAGTCATTTATTGACTAGCAGTTGTGCGTTTTTCTCTAAGCTTGCTTTTGGTTTTGCGACCCGTGACTCATCATAAACCAACTCTATATTTTTATGGTTATAGTATAAAGCTATATCCAATCTAGCATTGATGTTGTCCTTTGTCTTCCCCTTCACATCCATGACGGTGTCAAAAATGTTCTCAAACATGTTCTTTTCGATGTACATGATGTCAAGTTTATGGCGGAGCAGATTGGTCTTCCAATAAGAAAGCTCCTAAAAGATACTTTGCTTTACCTAATTATGGGTCAAACCAAAACCAAGAAACTTTTGCTTACCTAATTTAAGGCCAAACATAATGTCACCGTACTCTGAGACAACAACATGCAATTCTTCACCAGAAAGACACGGGGATGCAACATCTTTTTCAACTCTACCAACAAAGAAATCTTTTATGTACTTTCTGTACCTGTGATTAAGTGGCAAGAAACGACGGTGACAGTAAAAAAAAAGAAGCTTTACCTCCATTTGCTAGCGTGAATGCCTTGTTGTTTTCCATGCAGTATGGACATGCAAGTTTCCCATGCGTGCTCCAACCAGAAAGCATTCCATAAGCTGAAAAATCATTGATAGTCCACATCAAAGCCGCCCTCATAAGGAAATTTTATTTCCTCAATATATCATAAGTCAAAGCTCCGGAGGACCACAACTGCGCCAACTCATAAATCAATGGTTGAAGACAAACATCTATATTCCGCCCCAGGCTGCTTGGGCCGGGTATGACAGTAGATAAAAACATGAACTCCAGCCTCATACACATTCTCCGTGGCAAGTTATAAACTATGAGTATGACCGGCCAATAAGAATAAGGAGCAGCAAATGACCCAAATGGGTTGAATCCATCTGTACACAACCCAAGATGCACATTCCTTGATTCAGCTGAAAAGTGAGGATGAACACTGTTAAAGTGTTTCCACGCTTCGCCGTCAGAAGGATGAACCATCACTCCATCAACCGCATGGTGTGCTTGGTGCCATGTCATGTGCTCAG